GTTTTTTTGTTTTGGTTAATTATTAATATGATTTTAATAAAATGTATATATTGTCTGTTATAGGGGTTACCTGAGAAGAGCAAGGTTGTGATTGTTTCCAAGCATCCTACTGTACAACTTTCTTAGAAGTTAGTGATTTCTTTACAGGTATTCTCTGTTTTTGCCTAACTTTCATAGTATGGATAAAAATTGGATGTCTGTTAATCGATTGTCAAAAGAGTACGAGAATGGGGTATCGAACTTCGTTAAGTTTGCTGTTGAACACGCCAAAGACCCCAGTAGGATCACATGTCCTTGCTTAGGTTGCTGTTATGGGCGTCGAATTGACGCGGTTCAGTTGGAATCTCATTTAATGAGACATGGAATTGATCGAAGTTACACATGTTGGACATTACACGATGAGATAAGTAACGAGAATGTTGAACCCCAGAACAATACGACCTCTACTTCAAAGAACAATGGTAGGGATACATACGATTGTGATCGAGTCGAAGATATTGCAGAAGCACTTGAAGAAGATCTTAAAGATTGTCCAAAGATGTTTGAGAGGTTGGTAAGCGATGCAGAGAAGCCGTTGTATAAAGGTTGCACTACTTTCACAAGATTGTCTGCGGTATTAAAGTTGTACAACTTAAAGGCGGGTAATGGATGGTCGGATAAAAGTTTCACAGAGTTGTTAGCCCTACTTCAAGAGATGCTTCCGGAGGATAATGTTCTTCCCAATCGAACCTATGAAGCTAAAAAAATGTTATGCTCTATTGGTATGAGCTATGATAAGATACATGTTTGTCCAAATGATTGCATTTTGTTTCGAAATGAGTATGCATCATTAAACGAGTGTCCTAAATGCGGTGTATCTCGGTATAAGAAAAAGTTGTCACCAGCAAAAGTCTTATGGTATTTTCCTATAATTCCGAGATTCAGACGCATGTTTCGTAGTGAAACAGATGCGAAACACCTTACTTGGCATGCAGATGATAGAATTATAGATGGGAAGTATCGACATCCGGCAGATTCACCACAGTGGATGAAAATTGATAGTGATTATCCTGATTTTGGAGAAGAAGCTAGAAACCTTCGCTTGGCATTATCGACTGATGGAATGAATCCGCACGGTCTGCAAAGTATCTCCCATTCCACCTGGCCTGTAATTCTTATGATTTATAACCTACCTCCATGGCTATGTATGAAGCGTAAGTACATGATGTTATATATGTTAATTTCTGGCCCTAAACAACCAGGAAACGACATAGACGTATACCTGACACCTTTAATCGAAAACTTAAAAAGTTTGTGGGAGAACGGTGTGGAGGTTTATGATGGATATAGGAAAGAAAGTTTTAATTTGAGGGCCATGTTGTTTGGCACAATTAATGATTTCCCAGCATACGGAAATCTATCGGGGTATAGCATTAAAGGTCAATGTGCGTGTCTTATCTGTGAAGAAAACACAGATTGGACGCGGTTGGAATTTGGTCAGAAGAATGTCTTTCTTGGTCATCATAGATTCTTAAGTTCTAATCATCAGTACCGTGGGTGGAGACAAGAATTCAATGGAAATTCAGAACAACGTAGAGCACCACCTACATTGACCGGCGATCAAATTTTTGCAAAGGTGAAAGATGTGAGTACTCAGTTTGGCAAGCCTTTTGCTCATACGCTTACCACGCGTGGGTGGAAGAAGAGGTCAATTTTGTTTGAGTTGCCGTATTGGAAGTCGTTGTATGTACGACATTTTCTTGATGTTATGCATATTGAAAAAAATGTATTTGAAAGTGTTATTGGTACGTTACTCAATATACAAGGAAAGTCTAAGGATGGCCTTAAAGCAAGAAAAGACTTGGTAGCAATGGGAATAAGAAATGAATTAGGACCCCAGAAGAAAGGAAATCGCACTTATCTACCACCTGCTGCATATACTTTGTCTAGAAAGGAGAAAAAGATAATGTGTAAGTTTCTGAGTGAAGTTAAAGTTCCAGAAGGATACTCTTCAGATATTAGAAGACTTGTTTCTATGAAAGACCTAAAGTTAAAAAGTTTAAAGACACATGATTACCATGTTCTTATGGAACACTTTCTACCAATAGGTATACGTTCTATTTTTCCAGAAAAAGTGAGAGGCGCAATAACAAAATTGTGTTTCTTTTTCAGATCTATTTGTAGTAAGGTGATCGATCCTGCGATCTTACCAACATTGCAAAAAGATATAATTATTACTTTGTGTGAGCTTGAAATGTATTTTCCTCCGTCATTCTTTGACATAATGGTACATCTAGTTGTGCATCTCGTGAAAGAGACACAACTGTGTGGACCTGCATATATGAGATGGATGTATCTAGTTGAACGTTATATGAAAATATTGAAAGGGTATGTGAAAAACCGAAGTCGACCAGAGGGATGTATTGTTGAACGATACATTGTTGAAGAAGCTATTGAGTTTTGTACTGAATATTTGTCCAACGTTCAATCCATTGGCCTCCCAAAATCTGATGTTGTTGAAAAAGTAGTAGGTAAACAGTTAATTGGAAATAAAGTTGTGACAGTTTCAAGGGATGAACGGGAGCAAGTGCATTTATATGTTCTGCACAATGACATTGAGGTTGAGCAGTACGTTAAATTGCATAAGGACGTTCTCCGAGGTTTAAATCTGAATAGAAATGAAAATTGGATAGTACGTGAGCACAATCGAAGTTTTATAACATGGTTCAAAGAGCATATTTATTCAAAGTTTTATTCTGATCCCGCTTCAATAATAGAAAGGTTGAGATGTTTAGCATATGGTCCAACTTTGCATGTGTTTTCTTATAGCGCATACGCAATTAATGGATACACATTTTATACCAAGGATCAAGATGATAAAAGTACAATGCAAAATAGTGGTGTCACTGTGCTTGCCGAATCAATGCACATTTCCTCGTATTTTGGGGTAATCGAGCGCATTTGGGTGTTTGATTATGAGAAGTTTCAGATTCCTATCTTTGGATGCAAGTGGGTTGAAAGTAATAGTGGCATACGTATGGATAAGTCAGGTTTTTTGCAAGTGGATCTTAATAAGGTGGGGTACAAAGATGAGCCTTTTATTCTAGCCACACAAGCTAAACAAGTGTTCTATGTCACTGATCCGAAAAGTACGAAATGGTTTATAGTTCTTTTTTCCAACAAAGTAATCAACGATAACATTGGAGAAAAGGGGGAGGTTGATGTTGAGAATGAATCTTATGTTAGGGATGATCCAGATGAGAATATTATAGCAGACGAATCATATATTAGAAATGATCATAGCTTTTGAATTATATATATTAAAGTGGAATTGTATATAATTTGTGATGTTGAATTGTGAAGCTTTTGAATTATATATATTAAAGTGGAATTGTATATAATTTGTGATGTTGAATTGTGCATATAATGGCAAAGTGTTGAATTGTGCACATAATGTCAAAGTGTTGAATTGTGTATATAAAGCCAAAGTGCTGAAATAAAGGGCTAAATTATATAAGCAGGTATTGTAATATAAGCAGGTTTATTGAAAAATATATAAAAAATGCCATTAATCAGGAAAAAAAATTTTTCAAAACGTGCACATTAGACAGCGCTTTTATGTATAAGCGCTGCTAAAGGGGACAGAGAAACTGCTAAAAAAGCGCTGCTATAGGTGGGGAAAGAGGGGTCTAAGACAGCGCTTTAATAAAGCGCTGCTAAAGGGGGGGAGGGGGGAGATTAGGCAGCGCTTTAAAAAGCGCTGCTAAAGGGGTAAAAAAGCGCTGCTAAAGGTGATGTCTTTAGCAGTGCTTTTTCCACAAAAAAAGCGCTGTCTTTACCTTTAGCAGCGCCACTTTAGGCAGCGCTTTAAAGCGCTGCTAAAGGTCAAAAAAAGCGCTGTTAAAGGTCTGTTTTGGCATAGTGCAAATAATATTGTGATTTGCGACGCGAAATTCATATCACTTATTAGTGATCTGAGTTTCGTGTGGGAAAAAATTTCCACGGTTGCTCCTCCGACATGCTCTGCCCACGTCGCAAATTTTGATTAATAACATAATTTTGAACTTAGTGACGTGAATAATACGTAAGAAATGACAATATTTCTTATAATGTTATATTACTTTTTTTGAATAAGTTGCGACTTCTTTTTTAACGAGAAAGATATTACTTCATGTTTGTCATAACTCAACCAACGAGAGGTACTTTGACGGGCGAGGTAATTTCCTCCGTCTCTTACTCTAAGATTAAAAAAAATGTGAGATGGAATGTTAATAACTATGACTTAGAAATCCAATCACCTTCAAAAGAAAGTATGTCCAAAAAGAATCTTTTGAAATATATACATCAGTAGGATGGATTGTAAAATTCCCTTAAAATAAACATCTAAACAATAAATGCATGTCTTAAAAATAACATGTGACATAGCCACAAAGAAAATTTTGGTTACCTAACTTTTAGAAAGGTCGGTCAAAAGTTGGGAAAATGTACAACTTGCACTAATGAGGAAGTATCCCACAAGGTAACATTATCATTATTGTTTGACAATGAAGGAAAGCACCACCAAATTTTTATTCCACGAGCTCATTACTCGCAACTTTACATATATTACTACTAGTAAATAAGAATTCAAATTTAAAATCCACAATTCAACAAAAGTACTCTGGATTCTCTCGTACAAATCTCTATAAGAATAGTAGGCAATAGCAACAACAGTATAACCAATAGCATCATTTTACAAATTAATCAAAAAATTTCAAGCAGAACCACCAAAGAAAATCAAAAGTTCAGTTATAAAACACCATTGATTAACTCAGAAACATACACATGATTCCAAAAGAAACATAAACAAAAAATAAATAAAGTCATAGGTGTACTATCTTTGAAGATGATGATGATTATACCCAAATCCGCATACACACACCACATAAAAAAAAAGAAGAAAAAAAAATTAAACTTGAACTAGCAGAGCAACCTCCATTGAAACTAAAAGAAATTTAGAATTAAAAAAATGTAAAATAAGTTCATTTGAGACCATTTCCTGGTGTAGAAATTGCAAGTCCAGGCCAAGAGAAACAGTCTCCACCACCAACAAAACCAGTTTCGCCACCTTCTAACTGCCACGAGTTTCCGATTCCAGAAGACACAACCGGTACACCAATGTTGGATCCATCCATCATCCCAGGAAAACTCCACTCCGCTCTCCCTATTCCAAACCCCATATCTCCAAGCCCGTGTCCAAGCCCAAGCCCAAATCCACCTAATGCCAGAAACCCAGAGTTTTGTTGAGCGTTGCTGTTCAACAACGAGGTAAAGCTCCCGCAAACGCTCATATTCTGTTTCCCCTCACCGTCAACACCGCCATACGGAAAAGACGATGTCATTGAATGATAGTTCTGCTCCGGTGCCGATGTGACAGCGGAAGAGGAAGAAGAGGAAGTAACAGCAATGTTATGAGTGCGGGAGCGTTTCGCGTTTTTTCTGGTACCACCTCCGACGGGGATGTCACGGAGAGTACCGCCGTGAGTCCAGTACCTACGGCAAGCTTTGCAGAAATGACGAGGCTGAGAGTAGTTGTAGTTGTTGTAGTAACAAAACTTGGTGTTGGTTGAATCACAACGGGGACATGGGAGATTCTCTTGCTCGGGTGCAGGTGCTCCGGGGCGGTTCTGTGGTTTGATTGATCGACGGCTCTCACCAGAGTCCGATGACGGCATTGTTTAGTTTTGAAGAGTTTTGAAGAGAAAGATAAGAGAGTGAGAAAGGGAAGGTTTTTGAAAAGTGAAGTGTAAAATGCAAGGAATGAAAGTGGGGTTATGGAATGGAATAATGAGAAGAATAAGAAGAATAAATTGAACAAGTGTGATGAGTGTGTGTGGGGTAAATGGTGGGGTGTGGTTTTTATGGGAAAGAAAAGAAGTGAAGTGATAGAGAGAGTGAAAGGAATGAATGAGACGAGAGAGTGAGAGAGAATATTGTATGTATGGTGAAAATAGAGACATATTCTGATGCTTATATGAGACAGAATGGGTTCAGCTTTAGTACAGTGTTCTGTTAAGCACGACATTTCAGTCGGCTACTAGGGCCGTGCCTCCTGCTGCACACACCATCTCAATTCTCTCTAATATGTCTAAAACCAACTTTAATGATAGTTTTTAGAGTGGGTTTGCAAACATGGCACTCATATTTATTTGTTATTTTTAAGATCGAAAAGTTCTTAAATATGCAACGGTTCTTCAATGATTCTTATATTAAAATATTAATTTTATAATATAAAAATTATAATTTGATATAAAATTTTATTTATTATTTAAATTATTATTTTAATTAAAATTTAAATATTTAAATTATAATTTTAAATAAAATAAATTTAATATAAATAATATTTTTTAAGTAAAGTGGTGGGACCCAATATAAATTCTTTAGAGTTTCACTATTAGAGTGAAAATTGAATGAGTTGCTTTAAAAGAATAGATCTCACAAAGAACCTAAAAATGGATTGCACCATTGGAGATGCTCTAATCGATTCTTTTTCTTTCAATTTTTTTTCACTCTCATTAGGTATTGGCTTTCAGAATTATACAAATAATTACTACTAGTCGGCTACTAAGTGCTACTACCAATGTTAATTAAACACTTAGACTCTATTCAGTAAATATAGTTGACATATAGTTGATAATTGTTCCTTCTTTATTGGTTATTGAAATATTCTAATTATCATTATTGAAAAGTGAAAAAAATAATATAAATTTTAATTAAAATATATAATTGAAAGATAAAAACTAAAATTGCATTAAAAATTAAAATATATATTTATTTTGAAAAAATATATTTACAAATGTAATATTTATTTTACAATGGAGGAAATAGTTGGTACTGATAGTGTGTATTTGTTATATTTGATAAATTATAGCCTTCTAATTGATAAATTAAATTTCAATATTTTGTAAAATGTCAATTACATTAACTAAAAAATATAAAATAACATTAAATCTTTATAATTAAGAATTTGATAGTGGATTATCTTATTATGTTATATTACCTCAGTCTTAATTATAAAATTATATTGAGATTTTTTAATTCTTTTTTATAAGATTTTTTTTTAATTTTTAAAATACATTAAATATTCTTTTCAAACATACCCTTAATTACATTATATTTTTTTGTAATAAATACAATTACGTACATATTAATTATTTTTCTCTCTTAAGAATAAACATGTAAAATTGTATAAAATTGTCAATAAATTTAATACTCTAATCTATTTTTTTAATTTCCGTAATTTTCTCAAAGAAATTTTATATTCAAAGATCTTATATTTAGAGACGAAATTAATTTTTAATTGATAAAAAAAAATATATTAATAAACACAAGTAAAAAAAAATTTATATATTTATAAATTTTAATGCAGTAAAACTAAAAGCTAAAGAACACTTGTCAAAGCTAAAAACTAAACAACACTTACATAATGATAATTAGCTGAAAAGTTTTAAAACAAAAAAATCAAAAATCTTTATCTTATCTCATAGACTCTAAGTATATGTATCTCGCAGACTCTAAGTATACAGTGCATGTTTATAGTATTATAGTGTTTTTTTTTACAAATATGAATGATGATGAATAGTATTTTTATAGGGTGTTTTTGGAGCAGTGAATGCGAGTTTTAAGGTTTTTAATTTGTTAAGTATATAGTAGTATTATTTTTTTCAATTTTATAGTATGTGTTTAGAATTTAGCACTAGTTTATTTTCATGTTAAAATCATTTTGAGATATACTTATAGCAGAAGCTAAATATTTGATGATTCTGAAAATTACATCAAAATGTACATTGAAAAAAAAAGTGTGAAAACATATATTCAAAGGACAGTCTTAAACGACAAATATTTGATAATCATATTAGTAGTAACTTTTACTATATCATTTAAAAGTTTAGTTATATTCAAATGTACATAGTGTAGTGTTTGAATTCTTTCACTTGGACTCATGCATTTACCTTTGAGATAATTATGCACAACAAGCCGACAAGTAAAATAATTTAACTGAAATAGTATCACAATTAGCTCATGTTTCAATTAATCATAGTCAGGTTTCGACTACCAATATTTTATGCACATATTCGATTCTCCTGTCTTTTCCTCATACAATCTGGTTTGACAGAGGAAGCTTATAGACCATAGGGTGTTTGGTCATAAGATTATCCACGCATCGAATTTCAATCTTTGTTGTTATTCTAAATTCTAAAGAAACCCAAACTATGGATGGATAATGTAACATTCAAAGTCTTTTCACCTTGCTCTATTTTTTTCCTCTAATTAGGCCAACATAATTCAACTCATATCTAGAAAATCGTATCATTCAAACCACATGCAACAAACAATACACACTTCCTATAAAATAAAACAAAACAAAATCATATGAAATGTCGTTGTTACTAGACATTAGTCACTGTAACAGCAGAGTATTCCAAACCTAACTTTGAATGTTTAGTTAACTGGTTTGTTTTTCCATTTTGCTAGTGGTTAACATAACTAGCTAGAAGATAAAACCGTGTATTAGAACTCACTAGAATTACTATAGGTATTATAGAAAAAAATTTACATTTAGTTTAAAAATAAAATTGGTAGTATTAATTATAGAGGATTAGGATTAGCATAGGTGGGGACGAGGGGACAAAATAATGAGTGTCGGGCAGCATGGAGGGCAATAATTGGGTCAGCCCTATGATTTCGGACGCGTCATGTCCGCATCAGATTCCTCCTCCGTACCTTCCTCTCACTCTATCTTCTACCAGATTTTCCGCTACACTGTAGCTACGAAGGAGAATGCCCTAACATCACACGTAGACCGTTTGATGGTGATCATACGGTATGAGAGAAGAGACATCTGTCAGCGACAGACCGGTGGTTCTCGGTCGCATGTGCCCTCAAAAAACTGGTCTCATCAGAGAGAATCATCAATCATGGGTCACTTTCAAGCAGTAACAAAAACTTGGAAACGTGAAAGGTGAAACGTTGTTTGTCACTTTTCTCAATGAACCAAAACAAGAACATGTGTGTGTTAAGCTTATCCGTTTCAGAGTTCTGTGTGCTTGCTCATACATTATTCCTTGCTTGGTTCTGATTCTACGATACATCAATGGGAATTGGAACTTGGCGTGCTTTTCTTTTCGTTTCGTGGATGTTATTATTGCTGTCACTGGATTGGAATAATAATAATAATGTAAAGGGAAATCGTTCAGATGAAAAAAGAAATTTTCTTTTAAAATTTAATGCAAATGAATGAGTCACTACTGCACGCAGGTGTTTGTGGAGTTTGAAAGTTGGAGGCTCATAAATCAGTTTTACTGTGTTTTAAGATAAGACAAAATATTAGTCAAAGAAATATAGAAATATAGAACTTGGCGTGCTTTTCTTTTCGTTTCGTGGATGTTATTATTGCTGTCACTGGATTGGAATAATAATAATAATGTAAAGGGAAATCGTTCAGATGAAAAAAGAAATTTTCTTTTAAAATTTAATGCAAATGAATGAGTCACTACTGCACGCAGGTGTTTGTGGAGTTTGAAAGTTGGAGGCTCATAAATCAGTTTTAATGTGTTTTAAGATAAGACAAAATATTAGTCAAAGAAATATAGAAATATAAAGAAACAAAATTATTAAAGATGAAAACTACATTCTTCTTTTCAGGTTTTACAAAAAGTAACCCAAGAAAATATATGAAAAATATATATAGATTTAGATTTAGATTTAACTATAATTTTTGTTTTTTTTCTCTATTTTAAACAATTTATTTTTAGATTAGTAATTTTAATTCACATGAATTTTAAATTGAGTTTATTCTTATCAAATACTTTAGTATGTGGCACATTACGGTTATGTTATCCAAGTCAGAATTATCTTTCATAACAAATTAATTCTTTGATATATTATTTTTATTTTAATATTTTTAATAATAAATAAATAATAAAATATGTGTACTATTTCAACCAAACTAATTATAAAAATATAATAAATAAATAAAGACAATGCTACAAATTTAAACATCGTTTATCTTATTCATCTTATTTCTCCTAATTTATTGTTTTATTGTTCGTTGCTTGTTTGATTAGTATTTGATTTCATTGCTCGGTTTTGATTTCAATTCAATTTGTATCTTAGGACTCAATTTGTTTCTAACTTCCCTACTCATTTTAATTTGTCATATGATGGGGGATCAAAAATGAAAGTAGTACTCGAGACCAATCAAACACTTTAAGATATATATTTTACTTTGTTCATTTGTCATGTTTCTCTATTTATTTCAACATTTTACGATTTTCTTTCTTTTTTCATCTGATACTTGAATTTTAGTTTATAGTTTTAAATTTAAAAAAAAAATGTTTACCTACATAAAACTAATGAAAGTAAAAAAATAAGTTCATTGTAAGTTGGACATCAATGGAATAACAAAAGAAATGAATTTAGATGGTTTAACACTTCAAAATTTTCCCTTTCGTTTGTAATTGTAACTAACTTATGTTTCGTTCATTTTGCATTATCATTGTGCATATCAGACATTGGTTCTTGAGACATGGGATCAAGTTGTTTCTATGACTCAAGGCTTTCTTTTATTTCAAAATTTTAAGCAGCAAGTATCAGAGGCTTCAGCATTTATTTTACTCAGCGATTGGGCACTGGATTATATTTTTCAGTAGGTTATTTGATCGCAGAAGACAGT